CCTTTCAACCCTTTCGCCGTCCCTCCGTGTGTCTATCTCTCTCTTTCTCTCCGCGTTTCGCCTTCCCCCTTTTCCTCCCCACAGCCATCCTCTTCTCTTCGAGTTTTGCTCCCTCTCACACGCTATATTCCCGTTCGCTTCGCGTCCATTCTCCTCTCCCGCCCTCCCCCCCCTCCCCTCCCTTCTACCCCTCCGGTTCTGACTTTCAAGCGCGAGATCTGACGGCTGTATCGTACCTCCTTAGGGCGCGTATTTTATTTGGCGCGCCCTTCAATTACCTCGTACGCAATTCGAATGAAGAAGAACAATTGCTATATTAGATGCTCGCCGGGTGGGTGTGTTAATACATTTTACTCCGTGACGCGCGATCGCAGCCGCTTGATTCAGCGATTTATTATTTTCTTCTCTCGAGGCAAAGGGGAGATGCGGGCATGCCGCGCCGATGGGCGGATGTATTATCGTTCCCTCCGTTCGAGGCAAAAATCGGTTTATCAAAGACAAAATTTACATCTGTCCACGAGTACAAAAAGATTATATTAAAAAAGTGTAAACAAGTCGTAACACGCAAGCAAGAGAAATAATTGCAAGAAATAATAAACGCGCTTGAATCTGTCATCGATGTATTCATCGATCGCGTGTATACAAACTTCTTCCTCGGCGAAATGAAAAATCGAGAAGTGATCGATGACTGTCGCGCGAGTTTGCGTGAAAAAAATTACGTAATCGCAAAACTTTCTTCTCTATAGACGAGAAGTCGCGAGATGCGGAGAGATTCGTCACTAAATTGCACGATCCATTTTGAAGAGAGCTATAAAGGGTCAAACGTAAAGAAGGCATTGATTGGCAAGTTTGCTCTCGATCGTACATACGATTGATAGGCATCGATCGCGAGCGTCTTTCCTCGCCTTGGCCGATTCCAACGCCGACATTCGTGAGGCATGATACGACATGACAGTCGGTTTGTGCGCGACATTATGAAGATGTCACCGACGTGAAGCGACGACGACAACGACGACGACGATAGTGACGGTGGCGACATTTACGAATATTTCTACCCTCGTCCGTGCATGCAGTACACGGACGCGCGTATACGCGCGTGCACCGGCGTGCCGGCGCGGAATCGCGCGCGTATGCGTGGCGCACCGACGTTACACGCATTATCTGATGGCACCGACATACGTCTTCGCTGTCAGCCGATCGTTAAGGGAACAATCACAGTCAGACATATCGGCCGGGTTGGCCCTCTCCTCTCGTCTCTCTTCTCCTACCTGTCTTCTTCTCTTTCGTTGTCTCCCTTACGCCGCTTGCGTACGAACGCGCTGAGATGATCGATTCCTATCGTCATTCCTTGATAGCAGCAGTATCATTCAATAAGCGATTGACATTTCTGATATCTCTGTTACTTATGAAAAAAATGTCTCTTACAATGGGTTATTAGTAGGAAGTTATCTTCTTTCACTTTTTCCTTCCATTTAAAAAAAATATATATATGAATATATATATAATTAATTGTAATCACCGTATTGAGATACATGCAAGACGAATAAAAAAAAAACAGACGAAATTCGAGAGGAGGTCAGCGATCGACTTTCGAAGGCCGCGAAACTCGCGGATCGGCAAAACTTTCGGTTACACCCAATATGTCTCAATGATTCTGGGATTTGAGGATTTCAATGCAATGATTTTTCGATGCGATACCCCGACGCGATCCCTCCACGTATGTACGTATATCGGGCATATACGGGCGCTTTATACATTCCCCAGGTGATCTCTCGGGGGCAGCCGTTCTTTCTCCTTTATTACGTGACAATATTGCGAACGCTTCTTGCGGGCAATAATGCGCCTTAAGATCCGTGCCAGATGTCACCGCGCGCGGATATAGCGGGTCATATACGAGACCGAAATCTCAAATATTAGCGCGAATTCGTAGATGGGAGAGTGCACATCCTACGCGGCAATATCGCGCCGCTGATCGTCGGACGTCGTTTCTTCTCGCGCTCGCTCTTTCATCTCGTGGATATTCGGCGACGACACGTGCGCGAAACGGCTTGTAAAACTTCTCGCCAACGTCGTCGCGTCACGTCGCGGCGAGGGATCGCTCCGACCGCGTTCTTTTTTCCCCGCAATCGCTTCGAAATGCCACATTTAGTGCAATATCTGTAGGATCTATTCTGATTCGAGATATTTGTAATTCTCAAATATCAAAGGATATTTGTGAAGTAATCGAAAACGCGTCGACTATATAAATATGTGTGTGTGTTTTTTTATAAGACAAATTGAACGAAGTTCTCTAAACAAAAATATACTAAATAAATGTATTTAATAAAATAATCATATTTTAATTGACAATACTGACAGTATATTTCAAATTTTTATCTTAATAATTTTATTTAGTTAACTCTAGTTTATATTATTTGGAGTACAATTTTTTTCTTTATTCCAAAATTTATTTAAGAATTATTTACGATAAGCTCTAACAGTCGCTTTAAATTTTAACCAAAATTTTTTAACTAAAAATTGTATATTATGTAAGAGCGTTTATTTTTGTTTAAAGGGCTTTATTTAATATGTTTATAATCATACGCACACACACACATACACACACGTGTATATATATATATATATATATATATATATATATACATGTGTGTGTATTCTTAAATAAATTTTAAGATAAAAATGTAAATTTAGAACTCTAAGTAAAATGAGTAAGGTGGTTTTATCGGGCAAGTCCCAGTCAAAAATTAGTCCTTCCATATGACTAATAATTCAATAAAAACAAGTATAATTCAATAAAAACATTTCGCATACAGACTGTACTGTATGCGATTGTGTGACGTTTATGTGACAACGTCACACTATCGAGTTGGCGTTAGCAATAAAACCACCTTAATATAAAAATTCAAAATGTGATATCAATACTATCAATTAAAATGTGCTTACTGTACAAAATATGTTTATCCTTGATTACCGGCGTGTGTGTTATATGTGAAAAATTAGACGATAATGGTACAGGTTTCATTTCTCCACTCCAAACATCCTGAATGGACGACAAAGATAACTTCTCAAGATACTGAGGCTGCCATCTCGTATCAATTTCGAATACTAATGCGCTAGAAGTTACATAAATTAAAAAAATCTTTATAAATTTCTAAAATATTTCACGTTGTTTATATAATCATACAGTTAAAATTATTAAATAGGATTAATTTTATCATAAATGTCATCACTTATTTTTCATTTTTATTCGACATTCTTATCGGCTGTTTTATTTGAATTGCATGATACCAATTATCGATATAATATTCCATGCAGCGAGCGATCAGAGTTATAATTGTTAAATATCGACGGATAATTATCCATTCTATTATCTACCGTATTATTTACCGCAACTATAATTATAATCGTATATTTTGGAAAGAATTATTTCTTCGTCGCTTGTAACTGAACATGATTATGAAATATTGTCAAGAATATAAATTTTATACAAAATCGATTTTTTCTTTTAAATTCATATAATAACAGATAAGATATCCCTCCTATTAAAAAACTTAGTTTTTTTATTTTTGTACGTATTTATTGCGATTATTAAAATTGTTTTGTGTATTATTTAGTAATTATTAAAATGGAAAGATTATGATTCTCTGGTATGTTTTTGATATTAGGAGCTGTATAACAGTGTAAGATTAATAACTGCTATTTATTATTGTTAATACTTATAGTTATATTTTATTCTATGTATATATTATCATGAGCAACACAAGCCTTTGTGAAAAATTATTACATTTCTAAAAAAAATTTTTGGAACTAATAATATGCAATATTGGATTTGAATGGCTTTCTAATAATTTCCAATAATTTTTTTTTCGTAAATCCAATAATTTTTTCATAAGGGTGGGAAGCAGGGGATGACGCTTGTCTCTCATTCTTCCAAATTTTGATAAGAATTAAATTATGAAAATTATTTTTATGACGAAAAGTAAGCGTTCATTATAGAGCAATTATAGGTAAATAGAAGTTAGAAGAATAGAATACGTTAGAAAGTATTATGAAAGTTCGTTGAAATTCCTCGAAAACTAATTTTAACATAAGTTTTAATTTTAATAAGATTTGTATTAAGATAAATTTTTGTTCCATCTAGACTCCTTAACTGAAATCCTGAATAAGGGTATGTTGTAATAAATTTTTATGGTCATTGTTATATTGACTAAACTATGACAACGTTGCTACGAATATACATCTCACGTCACGACACACGCAAACAAAACGTATTTTTAATTTTCAATTTATGATCGATCTGAGTTGTTATAATAGAGCTTTACATAAAAAAAATATAAACAATTATATAATTGTTCACTCATAATTAATGCAAATAATATTCATACACAAAAAGAATGATTTTGCTAATTATATTAAACATTCGAATAGTAAAAATGCCAAAAGTACGGTATTATCATGCTTGAGCGTCTTACACAATTATTTTAATGGGCCAATGTAATTCAATTATTTACGGATTTGTATCTGGCCTAATTTTTACATACGTCAAGAATCATTCTTTCTGTATAGTACTAACAAAAATCAATTGCAATGTTACACTAAATTAACAAAAAATATTGGTATACTATAACTTAATATTTTTTTTGTTCCATTAAAAAATTTGTTTACCTATTATTTGATCCATTTATGTATTTACTGTAACTTTTAATTAATCACAAACGGGTTATCCAACATTCTTTCTTTAATTCACCGACGCATTTAAGTCATCTGTTGGATTGCATCAACGTCGAAAGATTTAGCATTATGAATCTACAATTGCCTACAAACAGAAATACTAAAAAAGTACAAATATTGATATTTTAATATGCCTTTTTAATATTTAATTTAAAAAAAAAACGGAAATACAGTGATCTTAATGTATTTATCTTTTCTTTTACACGAATTTCGTATATACATGTGTATTCGATTTTTCGAGACAATTAAAATTAATCCGGTGTGACCAGTTTACTCACAATATATCGTGGCTTAGTCTTTCAATTCAATGAAATTAAAAAAAGAACGATGCATTCTGGTGGTACATATAATGAAATTCTGATCTCGAAACGCGTCAGCTATCACGTAGCACATCCTACTTCTAAGCAGCTTTATCACATTGTCAATTCCTGAAATGAAAAATAAACAGATGAATCATCAATTCACGTACTTGTCGAGAAAAGTTTACTGATAGAAAACGAGTCAGTCTGCCAAGATATATTCAACATAATTTTTATTCTGATAATAGAAATGTATAAGCGAAACTCTAGAAATGATCATCATGTAATTATGTAAAAATATTTAATCATATAAAAAACATGAAAGCATATATATATATATATATATATATATATATATTCAAAACTTACCATGATAGCATTGACGATGTCATTTTGATTATTCTTAAGAGCTTTAATAGCTTTCCCTCGCGATACATTAGCTTGACACATAACCAAATCAACGTCCTTCTCCTCCACGCCTGTTTCATCCACCTCTTCTTCTGATTCTTCTTGTATAGGAGCAACAACCTAGTGTAACAAAGTAAGAATATAATATTAATAAATATTACATATTATATTGGTATTGCATTTTCAAATAGATATATCTTGCGCAATCTATAATTATAAAACATATCTTACCGTAGTACTACCGCCAGCTTCAGTAGCTGGTATAACTGGTGGTTCCTTGAACTTCTCAGCCGCTGCCACCTGAGCTTGCTGACTGAGATCTTCAATCTATATAAAGAGAATTATTAATACATATAAAAATATAGACATTAAATAATTCACACTTAATGTATGTGTTAACAAATAATCGTTTAAATATCAGTCTGCCAAGGTATTTTTCAACATTTGATTTCTGTTACAATTTGCGAAACCAACCTTAGTAAATCATCATAAAGCAGAGAATTCAATAAATATGTAAATTTATGACTAGACAGTCGCCTAATAATAATGTTCCTTACCTTGGCTTCACCAAATACTATGTACGTGTCTGAAGCTGGATTCTTCAAAACGTCTGGCTTGTTTATAACAAACAGAATGTTCTTTGATTTACGGATAGTCACTCTGTTAACTCCTTGTACCTGTAAAAAATAAGTGAAGCAAAATTGTCTTGAATATAAAATAAATTTTGAGAGGTGCTATATGGCTTGGATTTAAAGCAGTACATAATAGACTCATAAATCGATACTCCGATTTGATCCCAATCGTTGTCAATCCCGTGATCCCATATATGACTCAATTAATAAAAAGTTAAGTTTTGAAAGAGCATACGTGTATGTGATATAATACATTTCAGGGACAAATGAATACTTATTAGAATATTAAAATATTTAATAATTTCATATACCGGCTTCAATCCTAACTTGCTCATGAGCTTCCTGGCCTTCTTTTCACCGCGGCTCTGCTTGGCCTTGGACACCATGTCAATGGGAAGTCCAGTGACCGTTGTGCCGGGGAAACCGACAGTACCCGGGGTGCCAGCATCCTCTAACTCCGGTATAGTGTCGTCCGAATCGGAGTCGGTCGCAGAGCCGATACCCACCAGCTCGACCTTGGTAGGCTCCGAGCTCGCCGCCTTGTCAAGCTCCGTCAATTCTGGCATGTTTATTGATCTGTAAAAAGATACATATTGTCATACAGGTACAATAAATCTATTATCGCATAGGTATTTCTTGTATAAAGAAGCGAGATCTTGGATGAAGAGAAAACGTCGAAGTGAAACGGACGCCACCACGTGCCGAGGTCGGTAGATGACCCCACCTAAGGCACGTTTAAGTAATCATATCATTTTCACAGCACAAAGCGATCAGATTCGCGCGGAACGCGGAATTGATTGTGAGATACACATTGGACGTTGCGGTACGGAGAGAGTCGATCTCGTCGCGATCGACGGACGACGATCATCGACGCGGAGTCTCGCGCGCGAATAATGCATAAATGGACGTTATGGCGTCCGCCAGGAGCAGTCCGGGAAAACAGTTTACGGGCGGTGCATTTTGATTTTTTTTCTTTTTTTCACTCTTTACCTAATGTCGCGTGACTCGTTACGGCGCTAACGTAACTACGGACGTAACCACGTCTCGTCACCGTTAAATATCGTAATCGAAAACGTTCCGTCGAGAGAGGTATCACGTCATCGTTGCGTGGACACGGTAAAAATTGGCGGAAACAAGGCCCTAGCCTGGGGGACCCGTCACCCTCGCGTCGATTATCAGTGACGATAAGGTGTACCACGCGATACTATTAGCACAGGTGTCAAGAACGACGTCCGGTCTCGCGATATATGCGCGTCTCCTAACGAATTGCACGGTGATGCCGAGAAAATCGTTAGATTTTTTACCTCGAACGGTGATCCGCCGACGAACGGGCACTATTTTTATCGCGTAAATTGAGGCCGATCTACATGAGGGGGAGACCACGCGCGTGAGTTCACGCGAGCACAGCGCCACAGCCTGTACGATGTCTTTCAGAACGCCGTCGAAGAACAGCGAACAATGGACATTCTCCGTGTGTACGTTCGTTCGCCTCCACTTGTTTTAACCTCATGATCATCGCTTTCCCTTTCTCCATCGCTCGCATATGTATTTGTCGTCATTTTTAAGTTTAAACATTTTCGGGAATTTTTGTCGAGCAAAAGCAACACGAGCGAATCTTATTATGGCACGTACACACATCGCGAATCGTATCGAATTTTTCGTGCGTGCGCAGTAACGAGCGCAATGACGCATCGAAAAACGCGGGAGTTCTAACGAACGAGAGAGAGAGGACTAGTCAGGATAATTAAAATTGTACATACAATAAATATTAATACATTAATGGAATAAAAAAAAATTGCATCGTTGCGTCTATTATTACTGGCGGAGTATAATAACGACGAATAAGGCGGGGAAAGGAAACTGCTAGTCGAATTATGTCTAAAATTGTATTGCATATCAAGAATTTTCCAAATTGCTCTCAAGTATCTCTTCTACATACAAATTTATCACGCTAAAAACGACGGTACAATTCCTTACTTAGGAAGCAGAAAGTACAATATAATGAGAAAACAATCACATTCACGGTTTTTTTTTACAATTCACAATTACGTTATGGGGGGTCGAATTCGAGCTGTTACAACAATCATGAGTTTCATTAGCCTATCTAGAATCACAGTAGAGTGTTATCATAAGTAATATAATATAGAGCGCATTCTCAGATTTTTACATTTATGATGATATTTAATGTAGAAGTCATTTGAGTGTCAAATAATTTTCCATGCAAAAAGACAATGCTGGTATAAAATGCATATCTTTTTCTTCGTTTCTTCTTTCCCCCAAAAAAACTCAACATGTCTACATAACGAAACTCATGTTTCACAGTAGCCTTATATCTAAACTATTAATTAAATAATTAATACGCTAGAACGCAGTTCATTTTTCGTTTAATAAAGCAATATATGAAACTATTGCATTATTCACGTAAAAGGCATGATGGGTTGAGCTTAAGATATACGAAGGAAAGATCAACTTCTCAAAGGAATTTGTGGCCTAATATAAATAATGATCTGCCACTGCAGATAAGATAGGCAGTCTTATAAAAAAATACATTATTAATTGATGTGCAACATAAATCTTTTGCATGCGTGCAATGTTCAAGCAAAGTTTTTTTTTGTTGCATTTGATTAAATTGTGCCTCAAAAACTAAAAATGAAACGCAATTTCATATAAATATTGTTGTATATAAATATTTCTATGAAATCTACGAGATATCTAAAAGAAATTAGACTAATGATTTCCTGTCATTCTCATTTCAAGCCTTATGCATTCGGTAACGCTGATGCTGAGGCAATCAAGGGTTTGGAATGATAATGATCGTTTTTATAATCGTAAGTGTATAGGGTTCTCATACGTTTTCCATAAATTGTCTTGCAAATGCTATATAATCAAAACTTAGATAAGAAGAGTCTGTTAGGTTTCATTACGTATATTACCAACAATCATATATTTGTTATTTCCTAAATTATAGCAACGATTTCCATTAAATAGCAACGTTTCAATTGACAATTACACCTACAATCTAAAAAGATATTTTACACACTTCTAGCTCTCATTTACATGTTAAGAAAGTCAACATATTTAATATAATTTATTTTATTTCATTCATTCACGCCTTCATTCTTGCTCAACCGTGCCTGCCTCTCTACTTTTATCAAATTTTGAAACTTACTTGAAATTCTGATTTAGAAATATCGCTTTTCGCCTTGAGGCTACTTATTCGAATAGAAAAGTTATGGGGAGTGCTACGACTGCATTTTATCAGATTCATTCTCATCTAATAATTCCTTGGTTTCCGATTCGGGAGTGTCAGATGTTTCGCCTGGTCTTTCAACTACTTCAATATCCGAATCTAAAAAATACAAAAATATAAAAATTACATAAATACCAATATTTATTCTACATATGTATATATATTATTCGTATTACAAATCAAAAATATTGGCAACAGAAATAGATCAAAATAAGGTCACTAGAGAATTCAATATAAATAATAATAATAATAAATAAAATGAATTATACCTGTATCAGAATGTGTGCATGTTTCCAGCTCAGTAAGTTTTATTGTCTCTTCATTTGTATCATGAGGTGAATTAGCTTCGGGTGTATCTGAAGGTACAGCAGGGTTATCAAAATCCAATTTTGGAGCAAAAGGTTTTTGCTTTCTCGCAGGATTCCAAAAACCGCAGTAACAACATCTGAACGCTGCAAAAATATATATTTATATCGTCTGTTAAAATATAATTTGGGAGGAAAACTCTTAAAATAAAAAAACATCTTACCGAAATAATCAAATTCTTCTTTCAAAGCCATTCCATTGTGCGACTCGCACTGCCGACAAATTAAAGCATAGCGATTTGAAGGACCATCACCTACTAAATAATCAACCAAACGTTCAATCACTGTTCTTTGTTGCGGCAACACAGGTCGTGGTAATGGTGATCCTAAAGTAATATACATATATGCAGTCGTTAACTAACTCTATATGAATAATGAATTTATATGTGACATACGTTAGAATATACAAGTACAATATTCTTGCGAATCATCATGTTTTACGTATTTACTTACGGAAACCCATGGTTGCAGGATTAATTATTCTAGACTGGAAAGGAGTATTTGAAGATTGATTAATCGGTCTAATGGTGGGTGTCGTTTGACCAGAAATAGGTACACCAATCTGTGCGCTTTGTGGATGATTTTGGGTCGGTATGATTCTTCTTCTTAATTCAGAAGGTAGAGGAGATATGACGGCCTGGGGTGTAGGACGCCGAGGTGTCTCAGATGGTGCCGACATCCTATAAGTAAGCTAAAAACAGAGTAACATGAATTTTGTATGTTTGTTTGTATTATGTACCTTGAAAATACTATCTTTTAATATAAAAGAGTGCTTTATTTCCTCAAAAAGAGGAAGGAGTTTAGCCATCATAATTACATATATTTTACTTTTGTATACTTTTACACATGCTCGTGAGTATTACAAGTTCTGAAGTACAAACCTTTGGAGTTAACTGCAAAAAAAAGAAATAAAATCTAATGAGACAAAATCAAACTTGTAAAAAAGGATAGTTACAAAGTAAGACAATATAAACTATAAATTTTTAATAATATAAATTATAAATTAAGATTTCTTTTTTTAAGTTTTATATATTTTATAATAATATAAATTATAAATTTTTAAGATTTCTTTAAGTTTTATATTTGGCATTATTACATTCAATGAAATATTTGGCATTACTACATTCAATTAAATATTTAAGTGATATTAAAATAATTATGAGAACACAAGTTTACTCACAGGTGACATGGTTAATTCGTCCGGTGCAAATTTTAATAATATCTCTTTAGCCTTCTTGTATGTCTCCGTTTCGGTAACATCCTCTAATATCTTCTTCTTCTCTGCTACGATCGTAGACAATTTTTCTCGATTGTGGGTAATTTTACGATTATAATACCATGAAACCATTTTCTTTGTTAAAAGTATTCTAAAAGGATAACATACTTGATCACGTTCTCTATTCAAAAGTCCAAATATTGTACGATTAACAAGCGTCTCATACTTGCATACTTACAAAATCGGGAAAAGTAGTAATGGTGTTATATAAAAAATCTGATCGTACAACGAAGCTGGGAAGAAGCAAAAGTAAAAGACGAATGCTATCATAATATAAAGGCCAACTCCATAAATGATGATAGTTCCCACTATCCTCTTGTGTTTCTGCTCCGTAGTCTGTCCATATTGTTGGATGTCTTTGATTTGCTGTTAAAGCAGAAAGTTATCGGTATTAACTGCCATTTTATATACACATACAGTAATAATAAAGTAATACTCACTTTCTCTAGACTCTCCAAAATTTCAATAGTTGTCTTCTTTCTCTGAAAATCATATATTTTTTACATCATAATGTGTACTTTCTCAAATATTTTTTTTATGTGGAAAGAATGCTTTAAAAAATCACAAGAACAGCAGAGTAAATTTTCTTAAAAAGAATAAATAAATAAATATATGGAACAAATCGTTTCTGTAATATTCGACATTCTGTAACTTTTCTGTAAAATACTGAGCATTGAGAAAATGAGACTGGGAAAATAAAATTTGTAAAATGCACTTGCTTTATATTCTGTATTGATGGAATAGGTTTTATAACTTTATACAGACATACGATTGTGCGAATGATTAAAAACACAAAAGTAAGCTGAATAGCTAACTAAATAAATAGTAAAAAAAATAATTCGATTTCAGTAATGCGAAATGACATCGCATATTGTTCATGCATCTATAATATATTTCCTTCGGCGACGCGTTTAAATTAGAACAAAGTTCGTCATTGAATGTTAATGTTTGGGTCTTTCACAATAACCTTCTCCCCCCCCCCCTTTCGCGGAATAAATTTATCGACCGTTTTTGTTTACTCATGACAATGGTGGGCATCGGGGAAAATCGGTTCGCGCGACGGACGCTCAAGGACTCGGATCGGTCGCGTACGCGACCGCTTCGAAAAGAGATGCCCGGAAAAGAGAGCGCAATTATGCGGCCTGTGGCCACGTGCCGTACGTCTCGTCGCGTTTCAGAGAAAAAAAAAAGGGCCCGAAGTCGTTGGCTTCGCGCGTTCGCGCCAAGGTTAACCGCGCGATCTACGCGATCACGGCGATCTTTCGTCATCCGAACACGGATATTCACGGCTATAAATAGGCTGCAAATGACATTTGGAATCTATTGCTCCGGCGGCGTTTTCGCTTTGTTCCGCGGACAGGACGTAGGAGCGGTACGCCCGTACGTACGTGCGCGTACGGTAACGGCGCTAACCTCCAACGAAACGTCAGGAGGGGACGCCCCTCGGTACTCACTCACCTGAAATCTGGACAGTATTATCCCCATATTTAACGGCGGTATACGTTACGACGACGAAGACACAGACCAGCGCGGTGAGAGATTCCCGTTGACGTCGTTGGTCTCGCAGACGCGTCGAGCGCGTGTCACACCGAAACCGACATAAAACCGGCCGCCTGCCGATCGTTTTTAAAATAGTGCCCTCGTCGTCCACCTACCCCCCTCGAGACCGGTCGGTGTTGTGCCGCCGCGCCGCGCCGCTCGATACGATCCAAATTTAAATCCCCGCCGCCGCCACCGCCGCCGCCGCCGCGCCGTTTGGGGGGTGCCGATATTTATAAGTATAACCCGATAGTCCGGCGCGTCGTCGCCCGTCGGGTTATCACTATCATGTTCGGCGTGAGACGTGAGAAAGGGACGAAGGAACGAATGTGGGGAACGTCCGCGCTCCAGCTGTCAGCCGTGGCCCGTGAGAAGCACGCCTGTGTGTTCGCGCGCGCGCGTCCGCAAACTCTCGGACGAACGGGGACGAGTGGACGACTCGCAACGCACAGAGACGCGATCGCGCTCTCTCTCTCTGCTCCGCTCCGCGGCACTCGGTGCCAACCGGAAGAGGGGGGGGGAGTCGGAGCCCGGTGCCAGAGAGCCCGTGAGCGTTCGGAAACTCACGTGGACGTAAAGGCGTCGTGGCGCGCGGAACTGCCGTCGAACGATTTCCCGACCAAAGCCGAATTGACCCGAGCCGCGCGAATCTGCGCAGGATTCACACTGCACTGCGCGTCCGCGACAAACAACGGGAAAGCAACCTAACCTAGAGTGATCTCTAACCTAACCTCTTCTACTGCCCCTCTGCAGCCCCGCTGATGTTGCTTGCACGTTTTTCAACGAGACCGGAAGCGCGTTAGTCCTTATGTTAGTTATCTTATATAAGTCCTGTCAGAATTGAACAAGCCTGGAAGTCAAGCCCTTCGACCTCCGGGTTCTACGAAGAAACTGTGGTACGTAGATCCGTACGGACAACCAAGGGCCACAAGAAGAAGTCCTGTCAAGGCTATGGTAAGTATGCGTAACACGTGTTGTTGCATGCAGGATACTCTACTAGGGATTGCATTTATAATGCACTATGTGCATTTCTTCCAGAAATTCCAACCGGAGCCGGAGAAAAGATCACGCTGTTGATCGCGTTGCCGAACGGTGATATTACCTTGGAAATCCTCTCTCACGAGCGCGCGTCACAACCATGAGCTTCTCCGTGCACGAACCGTACGTGGCTATGTGCAACAACGAACGTGTGATAATACACGATATCGACAAGAGGACTGAGAACACGATCATCCTGCCGGATCTGAACGGCAGGATAACCAAGCACAACAATGGGGACAACGAGGCCTGTCACGATACGTTTCTGGCGTTTTCGGAGGACGGGAGGTATCTCGCCGTGTGCACGAATCGCAAGCAGCTGTGCCTGTACGAAACGAGCGGCCTGACACTCCTGTCGAGTCGTACGCTCGCCAGGGCCGCGAGCAGAATGAGATTCTCGCCGAGCAACGACATCGTGATAGCGGACAAAGCCGGCGAGGCCTACCTGTTCTCGACCACCGACCGTCCAACGGAGAGCGGAACCCCGATCCTGGGACACGTGTCGATGCTCTTCGACGTGCTCGTCACGCAAGACGCGAGATACGTTCTGACGGCCGACCGGGATGAGAAGATCAGAGTTTCCACGTTCCCGAACTGCTACAACATTGTATCCTACTGCCTGGGACACGAGAGATTCGTGACGAACATCTCGGAGTTGCCGCACGAGAGGAGCGTCCTGATATCGTGCGGTGGCGACGGTGACATCAAGCTCTGGGACTACAAGTGCGGAATTGAATTAACGTCCGTGAGCTTTTGCGATAGGATATCGAGTTGCGACTTGGAGAATTATAATCAACTTCTGCGTGACATTCATTACGACGAATCCATGAGCGCGCTGCTCGTCAAGTGTCTCAGAGTGTCTTACCTCAGTAGAATGGAGTCCTTGATTGTAATGAGTTTCTATACCAGCAAAACACTGTTGGTTTATAGGATTAGTGGCAGCTGTGACACACAGTTACAAGTGAGCTATTTGGAGTCCATAACTGCGAAAGCCGAACCTATAGAATGCCTTTTGCACAGACAGTGTTTGTGGGTATTAACGGATGAAGGGTTAGAGGTATATAAATTCGACGACAGATTTGTAACTCACGATGCTCTGAGTTACTCGATCAGTCGTCTTAATACGTCCTGGCAGAGTTTGAAAAACACTGTCGGCAATCGGAACTTGTTTCCACCTCTGTATAAAAGAAAATATGACAATGTACAGGAATATCAAAGAAGGAAGACGATTCGTCTTGCACGCAATGCAGAGTAGATTGTAATACCATCCTTGCAAATATAAAGAAAATATTTTCTGACCAATGTTTTGTATTTTAGAAAATATGTGTGAATGTGCAAATGAACGTTTGCAATAACCGAGTAAAATCAGGGAGAGAAATAAAGGTCTATATTTTACATACCTTTACAATCTTTACACAAGAGAAAATATAACAATTTGCAGGAATATCAGAGAAGGAAGAAGATTCGTCTTGCACGCAATGCAGAGTAGATTGTAACACTATTCTTACAAATATAAATACAATGATCGACGTACTGTCAGAATTTTTCAAAACATTTGCCATAACCGAATCAGGGAGAGAAATAAAAGTCTTATATTTTACATCAATTACTTTAGATTGTTATTAATTGCATCATATAAATTTGCTAATGCGTTAATGCGCTAAATAAACTTTTACAGAAATATAATTTTATTATGGACAATAAAAAATAATTGTAGCAAGGCAATATTGAATGATCCAATTTGGATCATACAAAAATTAATAGACATTCAATATTACTTTCGAAATATAAAATGATTAGTCACGAGTATTTCACACCGAATTACACAGGTTTATAATCTAGCTTCGATTCGAGTTTCTTATTGTCGGACACCTTTCTGACAGCTTTCATAAAATCTTCTTGTATTACATATTCTCTTTCTAATCGTATTGCAAACAGGCCAGCCTCTGTGCACACATTTCTTAGATCGGCGCCGTTGAATCCATCCGAAAGTTTAACCACTGCCTCATAATCTACATATATACGAATATTCATATTAATATTGTAATATAATATTGTAAAACGAAATACTTAAAATACGAAATGAGCAAGTTTCTTACCGATTTCACCATGTTTGGCAATTGGCAAGGCATGAATCTTTAAAATCTCTAAACGAGCTTGTTCATTAGGAAGCGGTATTTCGATCTTCCTGTCCAGCCTTCCTGGCCGTAATAACGCAGGATCCAAGGTGTCAGGCCTATTTGTGGCCATTATCATTTTAACTTGGCCCAAAGAATCAAATCCATCCATCTGATTCAACAACTCCATCAGGGTTCTCTGGATTTCTCGATCGGCACTTGTCCCTTCCGAAAATCTACGTCCACCTATGTGTGTGAAAACAAATATTAATAACATCTACAATTCTCTCTTAACTAGATATTGTCTTTATTTATAAATATCAAATACTCACCAATAGCATCAATTTCGTCCATGAATATAATACAAGGTTGATGATCACGAGCGTAATTGAACATTTCTCTAATCAGCCTAGCTGATTCTCCAATATATTTGTCAACAATAGCGCTCGAGACAACTTTCAAGAAGTTTGCATCCAACTGACTGGCGACAGCTCTCGCCAGTAACGTCTTTCCAGTACCTGGAGGGCCGTACAACAGGCATCCCTTGGGAGGGGTGATTCCAACTCTTTGGAAAAGTTCGGGATTTAATAACGGCAATTCTATAACTTCACGCAACTCGCGTATCTGTTCGCTCAAACCACCGATCGCAGAATATGTCACATCGCCGGGATCTTCGTGAGACATGTTATAAACTAACGGATCGACCTAAAAAGCACAATAATACAAATAAATTTCTGACAAGTCAGGAATCGATCTTTAAGGATTAATTAGTGAATTATTTTTACCTCACGCGGCAAATAGCGCATGATGGTAAGAGTTGTCATATCTAAAGCAACTCTAGTTCCAGATTTTAATTTATTTTTATCCAATTGACGCCGACATCCGACAACGTAGCGTGGACCGTTTGTCGCTTTCACTATGACTGTAAAACAAATTAAATCTCTATTATCTTCAGTTTTGGGCACATTGACTTGTATTTTGGCTATAAATTTGCAAGCTACACATATCTATTACATTAAATAAATGATATCTCTGTTTTTATGAAATAGAATTCTATGAACAACATATCGCTGTAATAAAGCTTGGAATTTTTAGCCATCTTTGAAATTAAATAGACAGCAAGATACAGACACATGTATTACATTAGTTCGATGTAAATTGATTACTTACACTTCTCTTCTGTAAGTTGTTTCAATACTTCTCCAACAATCTATAGAATAACGATCACGAAATATAGAGGCAATATTATAAATTATTAGTTGTAACATTATGACAACATACCTGTCCAACGCTTTGTAATGCCTTTAAATCATTTTCAGACTTGTCGTATTGCTTTGTCAGATCCTTGAGGTGTTCTCTCACTAGACAGTACATACATATTAGTCACATTTTTTTTTAATGAATCAATTATAAGATATAAAACACAGAAATTTCATAGTATATTAATGAAATAATATCACAAGAAAAATGTATCTAAGAGTAAAATATGGAACAACGAACGAACTTTGATGAAGACGATGTGAGAGGTTATAAGCCTTTGACATATATATACATACTTTGTAAATAAAACTTTATTATATAAAATATCGACAAAAATGTCTTACTTTCCTTGAGACGTGACTCAACTTCTTTATGTTCTAAAAGCTTTTTTCGATAATCTTGAAGCGCTTTTTCTCTCACAGAATCCATGGTGACCGCCATTTTTACTTATTTTGCTGTCTAACTGTCATCGACAGAATTTTTGTAGATAGGCAATACCATGATGTAAGAAGACAAGTTGAACTAACGTGCAACAATAGCGAAGTCAGCCGATCAAAATCCGGTCCAATGTGCAGCGCGATATTGAAATATTATATATGACATAATTTAATTGTTATAATATTTTACATTAATAGATATTTTCTTTACTTACTCTCTTTAATATTGCTACGATTGGTTAACCAAATCGGCTACTGCGCATCTCTGTGAGTTGGTTCACTTTTTTACGTCATGGGCAAGACATGTATTAAAATCGTTCTGAAATTGGAACAAAATTTATGGCTTATTCGATTTGTTGACGCGATCTGCGAATTTCTATATTTTTTGTTTTCGGACCGAGCGGATTTGATCGCTCCGAGAGCGATTAATGACGTCACATGCTCTATTTTAGATTTCTGATTGGACGAGGAGAGCATGTGACGTCATTAATCGCTCCCGGAGCGATCAAACCTGCTCCGAAAACGCTATTAACCTTTAAACCACTATATCGGTCTCACAGACCGCTATTGAAACTTTACTTGTCAACAATTTTCGTATTAATTGTCAATTTACAGATAACAGACAGTATTAATCAGACATCTACGTATTAATTGTCAATTTAAAGATAACAGATAAGACAATTTAAAGATATTTTATTTCTATATTGTATACAAAATGTTTTTGTTAATTTCCCTCACATAAAAACTAATTTTTCCTTTTCCCCATCAACAAGTATTCAGAAAACGTACATTTTTATTATAATTAATTTATAAAATTAGCGGGAGCATAATAAACGATCTGTCAGTTCGACATTGTGGTTGGTGTGATTTCTTTGGACGTGGTGGTTTAAGGGTTAGAGCGGGTTCGGTCCGCCATGTCTCATTTCATCATCCGGCGGCTTGTCCTCCTGTGTGAAAACTGGGTGGAAACGCGACTTTAGACTCCTCGGCGATCGTCGCGCCGCTTCTGACGTATCTCAGTTCAGCGTGATCACGTCGACGGTCAGTGTGTACATATGCATCACCTGCCGCACGCGTATCTATGATTACTCAAGTTTACATACACGCACCACTCCCGCTACTGCGTGTTCGCGATTTTTGTGAGATTCCCGACGTAGAACGGAACACGGAGCGTCGCCGGAATATCGACAAGTGCGTATCGACGAGCGAGTGATGGGGGACGCAGCGATGAACGTCGCAGCGTCCGGTGGCGGCGGCGGCGGCGGCGGCGGTGGCGGTGGAGGCAGCGGCGGCGGCGGCGGCGGCAGCGGTGGCGGCGGCAGCGGCGGTGGTAGCGGTGGCAGCGGCAGCGGCAGCGGTAGCGGCGTCAGCGGCAGCGGTAGCGGCGGTCAACGTGTCGTTAAGGAAGGATGGCTCCAAAAACGCGGTACCGCCATAATATTTACATTTTGATGTTTACCGGAGCCTCCGGTGGCCCCGTGCTCCGGCTTTCCCGTGCGCTCCTCCCCCTGCGTGGTTACGCGCGAGCGTATGTCACGCCGCGGGCTGGGGGTGTCACGAGCGCGCCGCGTCCGTCGTCGAACGTGCAACGCAGAAGGGATAGACGAATACCGAAATCTCGTCGAAATCCCCCGAGCGCCCTTTCCTCCGCGCTTCTCACGAAATTTTCACGCGCAAATCGCTCGTTCCACAATGAGGAGCGTTCCAATGGAAATCTGCGCCCATGGTCAGGTCTCGTTTTCCACGTCCACGTGGACGCGGAGCCTTGTTTTTTTTTTTTTATGTCTTCGCAAAAGTTGGAAGTCTGCACGTGCTTTTGTATTACTTTAAGAACAATCGCAATGTACGATTTTGTAGCTCACCTGGTGAACGAAACGTGGGAGCGTAGCACCTTGAGAAAATTAGATAAAACTTAGATCAGTATTAGATCTCCGACAATTGATGTTATTAATTTTTTCTTTATATATTTTGTATTGAATATGTTAATTGAAAATTTTACGGTGTGCTTATGTGATAAGATTTTTAAACAGTAATTTATTAAAGTTGAAAGATCAAGCATTTAAAGCCTTATTTTTGGAGCTGAATTTTCCTGATCAAATATTTATGTATGCAGAATTAAAATGCAGAATAATTTTCTTTGCAGGGGAGCACATAAAAAATTGGAGATCGAGGTATTTTGTCTTGAGGGACGATGGTACACTGGTTGGGTTCAAGGCGAAGCCCGATCCACAGATGGCTGCGCAAACATCCCAGCCATTAAATAACTTCACAGTGCGCGGGTGCCAAATAATGTCGGTGGACAGACCTAAACCCTATACATTTGTTATCAGAGGCCTCCAGTGGACAACCGTAATCGAAAGGACGTTTCACGTGGAAACGGAGCAGGACAGGGAAGACTGGGTAGCAGCAATCAGGTTTGGGCTTTAACAGAAATCCTTTGAGCTCCGGAATGTCGAATTCTTTGACGCTCCATTTTGCAATGCTCATCTAACTCTCTTCCTCATATTTTCTCGCAGATATGTAGCGGATAGGTTAGCAAATGAAGAAAATCAACAGCAAGAACAACCACAAATGCAACAATCTTCTTCCTCGGAGGATGTTGATATGGAATCGTCAGTAGGTGCCAGGTCTGATTCTTGTAGTTCCTTAGGTGTTGTATCTACTGATCTAGACGGTGGTAGTATCGACGAATTATCAGCAAAGTTCAGTGTCCAAGGAACTTCAAGTAGTAAAAGTACCGGCAAAAAGAAAGTAGTAAGTTATCAAACTTTATATTTCTTATTATTTGATCTGATTATCTTATCTTTACTGAATAACACATTACTCAATTATGAATCACACACTGTCATTATAATGCATGCATAAATACTGTTCATTTCTATAAATATACATAGTACAAAGTATATAAATATACAAAAAAATAAATATAAAGGAAATTGACTTTCGTAAATTTATTAATTTATTGCTTGAAACAATCCACGGTCGATTTAGATACCTAAGTGTTTATTCATTTATTTAAAAGTAATTTTATTTATAATTTCTTTTTATATATTTTATTTCAGACACTTGAAAATTTTGAATTTTTAAAAGTTTTGGGAAAAGGAACGTTTGGAAAGGTAATTCTTTGTAGAGAAAAAGCAACAGGACATTTGTACGCTATAAAAATTTTAAGAAAGGAGGTCATTATCCGTAAAGACGAAGTGGCACACACACTTACTGAAAACAGAGTATTACGTACTACGAATCATCCTTTTTTAATCGTATGTAAAATACTGCTTAATACATGTATATGTTATTATTAAATGTTATTAGATATTTTTCGCAATTTTATAATTTGTTTGATTAAAGTGTCTTCACTGTGAATTATATTAAATATATCATAAATTTTCAGTCTTTGAAATACAGTTTTCAAACGGCGGACAGGCTGTGTTTTGTTATGGAATATGTAAATGGCGGCGAATTATTTTTCCATTTGAGCCGATCACGAGTATTTGGCGAAGATCGTACTCGATTTTACGGCGCAGAGATTATATCGGCCTTAGGTTACTTGCACTCGCAAGGCATTATATATCGTGATCTCAAATTGGAAAATCTCCTCTTGGATAAAGATGGGCATATTAAAATTGCTGACTTTGGTTTGTGCAAAGAGGACATTACGTATGGTTTGTATCATTCGCTAACTGAACGGTAGTTAAAAACTATTAAAATGTTGTACGAAGAATTATTTTAAAGAGATTAATTCTATAACGTAGGGAGAACAACAAAGACATTTTGCGGAACACCAGAGTATTTGGCACCAGAAGTACTTGAAGATAACGATTATGGACGAGCTGTGGATTGGTGGGGTGTGGGTGTAGTCATGTATGAAATGATGTGTGGTCGATTACCTTTTTATAACAAAGATCATGAAAAGCTATTTACGCTTATTTTATTGGAAGAAGTAAGATTTCCTAGGACGATTAGCAATGAAGCAAGAGATATGCTTGGTGGTGAGCATTACAAGCTGCTACTTAATTAAATAAATTTTACAGATGCTTTTAAGTGAAGAAAAAAAAATTACACTTATGCTATTTTTATATAGGTTTATTAATAAAGGATCCAAGTAGAAGATTAGGCGGTGGACCTAATGATGCGAAGGACATCATGAATCATGCATTTTTTTCATGTATCAATTGGACAGATCTTGTCCAGAAGAAGATACCTCCACCCTTTAAGCCGCAAGTGACTTCAGATATTGACACTCGATATTTTGATAGTGAATTTACCGGCGAAAGTGTTGAACTTACACCCCCGGATCAGGGCTGTTTGGGTAGTGGAGGGGGTTTAAATTCTATAGCAGAAGAACAAGAACATTTTCCTCAATTTTCATACCAGGAAAGTCATTCAGCAGCAACTTCTTCCATTGTTTCTATCAATCACTGACAGTGTCAAGTGTCTTGCTTAATTAATGTAATGAGATGTGGTTCAATGCATGAAAAATCTCGAGCAAAAGAATTTAATTACGATATGTATCTGACGATTGTCTGCAAAGCTTGAAATTTTCCCCCCAATAGGCAGATCAATCAAATTATCTTTCTTTATGATGCTTTTTTTTTAATGCATCTTAAGAGATTATCACATATCTCCAATGGCAAAAGAAATTAGATTTATGCGTATAAGTGTGCGCGCGCATATTACACCTATACACATAATTATATTCATTAAAATTGTATATGGCAAAATGTATACTATAAGATTAGATCGAGATAGTACGATTAATATTTGCATATAGATTCGAAGGAATATGACAGGGATTAAATTACGTTCTTAATTGAATCGAGTTAACTAAAAACTCCTTGAGACACGCGTATTGTGAATATTGAATAATTTTCTTGTCATCAAGGAACGTGCGGTAATCGTAAGTATATAATCGTTTCGTTCAACAAAAGCTGCACTTGACACTTTCCAACTTCATCATCACCGTTTATTATCTTATTTATGGAAGGGCAGTTCCTGATCTTTTTTTTAATTCAATAGATGACTGTTACGGCAGATGCCAAAATAGAAAATTGCATTAAGGGCCAAACGAAAAAGAAAATGGTTTGTCCATTGTGAAAGTTGAATGTGTAGTAAAATATCAGCTTTAATTGAATTATTGTATAAATTGGAGATCACTTTTTTAGCCTTATGAAAATTGTCATTTATTATGACTGATAATAATTGGAGATGTGCGAGTATTCGGAAATTCTGGGCTGTATAGAATTCGGAACACTTGTTCGAAACAAATGTTTTACTATTTTTGGAATTGGAAAAGGAAGTTGTTTAAAAGAAACTTGTGGCTTAAATATTTTCTATACCTATGTTATTTCCCAACCAAAATATATTAAACTTAATAGTGGATGCATGCATTACGCGTTACAGAAAATTAGAAGCTAAATTCTCTATTATATTACTATAATTGAATTGGATTATTTATCGTTGAATCATAAGCTTAAAGTTTGAGCAACATTCAATTCCATAGTTCCAAGCTTAAAGTCTGAAAGATAAAAATTTTATGTAAGATTTTGTTGTATCATAGCTTATTTACCGTTAATTTACTGAATTTCGAAAAATTTTTTACTACTACAAATCATCCAAGAGTAATGATTTTAGTACACGTATAAATCATATCTTCATATGTAAAAATCATATTTTTATTGCCAGCAAATCTATATTTTTTTAAAATAATCTCGAAAGATTATTTTTTAATTTTAATCATTATGTAAAAATAATTTATCAATGGAAATAATGAAGGATATATAAATTATTCATTGTTCGTATCATCGCAAAAGTGAAATCGTTGCTAGACTTTTAACGGTATATCGACACAAAGTGATTTGTGCATAATTGTGATCAAAGTGCCTAGTAAACGATTACTCCCTAGGAACGAATAATGTAATTCTATTTGAATGCAAATCTGAAAATATAAAATAATCAACTGTTATCCTATTTTACTCATCGGATCTAAATTACTTAATTTATATCATTTATATCATTTAGATAAATTCGCATTTTTCAAGAGCTGATTTATCATAAATATTAAGAAACGTGTTTATAGGTGAAAATATGTTAGTCACAATTAGAGCGATCGGAACAACTTGAATAGTTCGAATGAGTTCTATCCGAAGAATAGTCTTAAAATACGTGATATGTGAAACTTCGAAAGACTCACACATGTCTAATTATAGTGAATTTTAAATCGGAAAAAGATGTTTTCCTATAAAAAAAAANAAAAAAAAAACAGTCAAGGCTATTCGTTATATATCTTTATGTATCATTAAATAGTAATTAATTATGAGAGTTAGATGGAACTATGAAATCTTATACACTAATACTATAGATATGTATACATATATACAAATATATATTTATATGTATATATGTATATATATTATTAAAACTATATTATATATACTTATAATAATTATATATATGCATATATTTATATTTTAACAATTAAAGGATTATATTATACGTTTTTTGCATTTACTAATTTTTTTACTCGCTCACGTAAATATCACATATTTTATTGTTCATGTATACATTTCGACCGTGGTATGTCCAGTTACATAAAATGTGTACCAAATTCGAATTACAATTATATAATTATACGTATAATACACAGTCGAAGTAAAAGAAAGTTCTTATTCACTAAAACAGTTTAGTTGACAGATGTTTTTAATCTCTATTTTGTGTCAATTGTTATTTTGTAATACGGCGTTAATTAAAATTAAATTTAATTATATTATCACATTAATTTGCAGAAGAAACTTCTACATATTGTGGCAAAGGTTTCTCTTTCACGAGCCAAACTCTGTCTAAAACAGCACCATCCTTATCATCGGACACCTATCGTTAAACGGAAATTATTATTTTATGATGATTACAAAAGAAACACAATTTTTAAGATTTGTTTTTATCATATCTATGCCATACCTGTTCTAGATATAAATGAGTTTTGTTGAACACTTTCATTCTTGTGTATCCATAATCTGAGCTACGAAATGCGGACCATTCCGGTGAGTTTGGAATAAAGCTCTCTCGACCTTCCTTGCAACCAGCTGATCCAGTAACTATGTGTACAGGTGCTTTGTAATTTGTATATGGTTCTTCGTAACTACCGTTGTACACCTACGAGAATAATTCCCAGCTTATTAGCAAGCGCGCAAATATTTTTCCCCCGTAAGAGAAACTTAGCAGGCGACATTTACCTGAAAGTTGTACATGGGCCACATCCTTTCGTAACTGTGTTCGTGCGCCCAGATTTCTAAATCGACTTTATGCTTGAAAAACAGATCCTCCAATCCAAACCAATTTAAAAACGGTAATCCAACTCTAACCAGACTCTGATGGTTCGTACAATCGTCTGCATTTTTATTGCTGCAATACATTGGCCTATGTCCAAATGTTACTATCCACGGACGTCGCGCTCTGTAATCATAATCCTCCGTCAGTCATCGTTATGTTGTAACACGGTCTAATTGACAGCGTACCTTGCTTCAGGTTTATTAGCTTCACGCAGATCTTTATCCAACCATTCATACTGTTTAACCATTTGCTTTATACCATAATTCATGAAGTAATAAGCCTCAGTTTCTATAGCTACAAAATGTACAGGACCTATATTAAAGCTGTACCACAAGCCTTCTGAATCGCCTGGCATAGTAAATCGGGCCCTGGAAAGATTATTAAAAAATGAGATTTAAGTCGGTTCACATAAAAATATCGGGTTGCATATATATAATCAAGCAACAATCTTATAGTAGCATAATTCATTTGCAATATTGGCCCAATATGTGCCCAATGCATGCCAATATTTGATGTATCGCCAATGAATTATGCTCTTTCTCTCTCTATTAAAGAAACATTTAAATATAACGAAAACTAGGGACAAACGTAGCAGACACAAGAATATACATAAATATATTTACAATTGATTGTCAATTGTTTTTATTCTTGTCGACATGCGCCTCCATTCCTATCTTAATAATAACTTAATAGCTCGACGAATGACGATACGATACGTACATACATACTTCAGTATGGTACATACCATACTCGATTTTATCTATTACGTTTGTCCCGTGTTACTTTTGTTCCTGTGGTGTCTCTCCTACCTATAATTGCTAAAATTAAATTTCTCTTCGTGGTTGCCAGGTACGGTCATATACGGTATGTAAGCGGCAACGGATTCGATTTGCCGCATAAACTCGTCTCCCACACGTGCGTCATCCGTATTCATGTCATAAGCGAAATCGCCAACATGTATGGCAGCGTCGTACAAGCCACGCTCCGTCTCCTCTTGCAATCGCGACAAACTCTGCGCATTCTCGTTGCCCATATCGCCAAAGATAACTATTTGCGGCGACCAATCTGCAGAAGCCTCTGGTGCGGTTCTCATGTAGAACACATTTGACCATCCATAACGGCTACCGCAATGATATACTGACAACGAACAATCAAACGTTCATTTATTAGTGCGGCAATTGAGAATAATTATTAGCAAACGAAAAAGATGCTCGAGATATTAGATCTTACTGTATTTGCTGTTGGGCGTTAAATTCTTCAGCCACACTCTGTGGATGTACTGTTCTCGTTTCTTATGTCCACCATCGACGAAAAGAGTAGAATTTCCTTCCGCTCGCAGAATGAATCCACCTATACCATACTCCACTATTGACTCTTCTGTATCATTTCTTGTGCTCCAAGTGACGACAATGTCATGAATGTTGTCTGAAAATTAATATTCAGAGCATATATCATCTCTGCCAATCGTATAAATAACTGCAGAATTATAAACACTTGGAATATAATTTCTCCCCTATTATCATTCGTATTTTTCAAAAGCATAATTAAAAATGTTATCTATATATTAATTGTATAAATATATATAAAATAAAATTTTATATATTATAAAACTCACCACCGTAGGAAAGGTGTACAGCTTCCGGCTGATGATGTATCACAGAGGCAAACGCAGCAGAGAAGAGAGATAGGATCGTCAATGTGATATGCAAAGACATTGTTGCTTATACGGATCAGAAACAAGGTCAGATATGATATGCATTAATTGATTATCTGATACGGCGCTGCAGGAACAGAACAAAGGAATTAATTTATGTTTGTAAATCAAACTGTAATGCATATGTTAAGCTGAACGCACATATCATACCTGCTCACACAAGCGTCCTGCGTCCTACGAGTCCTTATCCTGCCTGTCACACAAAGGAACGACTACCAAGAAAAAAACGGTCGAGGGTTATGTATCAAAAACAACGCACAATCGTGCGTTATCAGTAAATGCGTGACATCGTCGAGCCACCGCCGTGTGCATTAACGCGCATTAACGTTCCGACACGATGACGCTTGAATAATCATTAATTAAACTCCCCCACAGCCCCCGCAGCTGGTTTGCTTCCGTCAGCGTTGATCTGTCATTTTCTTATAACGCGAGCGTGGCTAACCAATGAGAAACGTTGCATCAAACACGTGCGACAATTGGCCGCTAGAGATAATTTTGGCGCTTTTGCATTTAATTTCATGCCATTAGCGTATTTAACTATCTGTTCATTGTGTGTGGAACTGCTTGCTGCACTGCATTAAACTTTTTATGTATCTACAATGAAATATAGGTGTATAATTAAACATTTAGGAGAAAAGGAGTAAAGCGAAACGAAAAATTTAACCCGTTAAAGAAGAACAGCGTTTTGCTTTCTGGAAATATTCCACGCTCTTTGTCATACTAATTATTTACGGTGAGTTAACCTCTTTAGAGGTTAGGACTTATGTGTACCGTGTACGTTTAGTTTTGTTTTAATTTTAATATTCATGACAAAGGAGAAATGAGCAATATTCATTATAGTGTTTTTATTATTTTCTTCTTTTAATTTCTATATGATTTAAACTGAGTAAAATATAAATATAAATTGAAGAAAGAATTACACAGTACTCTTTTTAACTTTAAAAATTCGTTTCCGAAGAGATTATAAATATATATACTAACTTTCTTTTCTATATAAAAAGTGGATTAAGTTGGATTAACATAAAATTACATAATTTTTTTAAGTTTAAAAATTTTTTAGTTGAAAAAATTTTCTAAATTATATATTTTTTTTTACATATATTATTGAGGAAATAACAAAGTGGCAAAACATTCAAGTAAACATGTTACATACATTTGTACAACAGTTACATTTAATGAATTTACAATTTTGTAACATTTATATTTTTTATCTATTAAATTGTTATTTTAGTTGTTGTTTACTAACAAGTTTTATTAGCAACATATTTATCTTTGGCGACCTCTCGTTAAAGTTTTTAACACTTCAAATTCGTCGGTAACGCAAGCTATATAATTTTAAATACAAACTAAAAACTAATTTTTAAAATATCTCTTGCAAAAAATTTTATATTGGAAGGTAGTAGTTATTTATTTTGAATATTAAAAGCATTGAACAACAGTGCTTTTATAGTACACAAAATAAGTAATTTCCAGTATTAAATCGAATTTCAGTAAGAGAATATACAATAATAAACTATATATACAATAATAAAATTTTTATGTAACACGCGTGCGAATTATAATCGAAAAATATCCCAAGATTTGATTTTTCTTAATAGGAACATACTTACGTATTTATTATAAATACAAGTATGTATATCTATATATATATTACGGAAATATGTACGCTGTGTAAGAGAACATGCCGTAAAACTACATCGCAGGTCGGATTTTATCAGTTCCACGAGTTTAATTCATCCGCGCACCGGCGCGGCGTAGGATCATCACCTAATTGGTAATTAAATCAAAGCTGAGAGCCAAAGCGATTCGTTCAATTTCCAAAATAGTTCTCGCCTCAGTGATAAGATTTGTTTAACTAGAACGCGGGCTCTCGAGCTTGCCTCATCGTGATTGCCTGCGGGTTACTATTAATCCGTACTTGAAGTTAAACGTTGCTCTCGATCGCAGACAATAGGGCGACGTTGATTCCGTGCGGCGATACCGCGATAATGCAATTACATAAGAGGAAGCTGAAGGAAAGTCAGAGAGAGAAAGAGGCAGAGGGGGAGGGAGAAGGAGAGAGAGAGAAACCAGAAAGGCAGTTACCGAACTAACATCCCCTATATTGATCTTACAGTCTTGCAGTTCTCTCTGTCTCGCCTTTGGTTTGCACGCGTTTCCCGTGCACGTGCAAACCCGCAGGAACGTAGGAAAATCTTACGATTCCCTGAGAACAAATAAGCGCAAGTTACAAAAAACATACCAAAATTCCTTAAAAATTCCTAAAATATTTTTGTACATTTTTACATAAAAGTAATTCTAGAATGTCTAACTTTGTCTTCAATAAATATAGAGATTCTCTCCCTCTCAAAAGGGAATCACAGCTAGGATTGGCGTCAGAGAGTGTTTGAATTATTGAGGTATCATCCTACGTATATAACGTGCCTCTCTTCAAGAAGTATTATTATAAGATACATAAGAGACACTTTACACGTATTAAAAATCTGAAAAAGTTATATAAGTTAGCGATTATCTTTGAGAATGCACGCGTATCCGTTTCTCTGACTGCGGCGTACCCTTAATGCATATGTATGGACTTGGACAACAGTTCAGATTACCTAGACATCGGATTATGGCGCGACACTCGCGTAAGGACTTGTTTCGCAACTCTGCAAATACCGATACTAATTTAGAAAGCTATCTCTTCACATTTAAAAGAATTTACCGTGAAAATTATTTGCATTAATCTTTCAGCAATAAAAGTTGAGGTATATAGAATAGAGTTTCGCAAAATATGTCTCTCGCGTTAAGAGATCGTTAAAGGTACGAGATATATATTTTTTTCAAGGCTTGCAAAAATTGATTTGTTTGATATAACTGAATCTATCTAACTGAATATCAACGAAATGAAAGCTTTTAGAAAAATATATTTTCTTGCCGGTCTCGCACGGTGAGAGTGTTAGAGGAACGCAAACGTAATATAAGTTTTCTATTCTACTTTCGCGACGTGGCGAGGCGGCAGCCCTCTGAGCATAGAACCCCCTTGTGTAAATATCTCAGAGATCCAATATTGTGTTCGGAGAGGATGATCTTATATTCGTGAATTTAATATAGGATATTTGAAATTCTAGTTATATATATCGTATAATAAAGACTTGGTTAGAATTTTGCGCTTTTACCTCTCGCATCAGCCTTTCATCGCGTAATAAATAAAAAAATCATGCTTGTGAAAAGAGATACAGCATCAGTAACTGGAATTTAATATCTCGACATTTCAAAATACTCGACGCAATGAGACTGATGTAAATATCGCAAATATCGCATCACTGTTTTTGAATTCCAAATTGATTTCCAAATCTCTGATGAGGAAACTTCTATAGGCTCGTATTCAGAACGCGCTTATAACAATGTTAGCGTACATTTAGAATATATGTATATATATAGTTTATGTTACACATGTTATAGAATTTCAGAAATAAACGCATTTATTGATAAAAGTGAGATATGAAATATGGATCTTAATCGAAAGCTGTAAGATAATCGATTTCGAATCAATTCAATTTTTCATTACGGATTATACTGTTTATTGAGCTGTTTAATATAACGTTTTAACATTTATAAAGAGCAACTATAGAAATCGGCTCTTCAAATTTTAATTAATATTATAATATTTCGTGAACAACTTGATAAAAATAACGGCGAATCGTAGAACGGAAAGTGGATTTTATTTCATTTGAAACTCAAGATCCGGCGTGGCGTAATTACTTTTCACCCAATTTCCGTTGAAAAAAAAAAGTCTTTCGAAAAAAGATTATCGAGGAATCTATAGTCAACGGCAGTCAAGAGCAGTCGATAAAGCGCGTACAGTTCTCTCGTAATTTTCGTCGTACGATAGATATCGCCAGCGGCGCGGCTTTAGATATGTAACAGCATCCTCGATGTTACCACACAGCTCTCGAGACGTGCCCTCCATTCTCGTGTGGCTAGAGGAAAAATCTTATTAATAATCGCGAGAGAGAGAGAGAGAAAGAGAAACAGAGCGTGTAAATCACGTCAGCTGCGAGTCGCGGGATGCCGAGAAACGAATCCCAAAGCTAATTTGCGATTGTCGCGGCTGCGAGGAGCGCGCCACCCTGCATGCGCCCTTCCTCGGCGCGCCCCGAACCGCCGCGCTGCGCCGCGCGTCCCGATCATCATCCCCCTGTACAGCCGGCAGCGCAGGTACGGCGTGAAGGTTGCGGCGTATACGCGAGGCGGAGGGCTCGAAAGTCGAAGACCGGGGATTGCCGCCAACGGGACGACGCCGGCGCGGACCGCCGCTGCCGCCGTCGCCGCCGCCACCGCCGCGCCGCTGACGCCGCTCCGTGGCGAGGGTTGGAGGCGGCTCCGTGGAGGGTTGGAGGGTTGCTCCGGAGGCGAGAGAGAGCGGTGTCGGCAGGGCTGCCGCCGCCGTCGGTCAACGCGCACGTACCACGGGGTTCACACCCATCTCGCGCTGCGGACATCTCGCGCCGTTTCCCCCCGGGGTCGACCTCGACGTCGTCCGCGAGGCGGATTCACCATCCCCTCCGATCGTTCCCCCCAAGTTAGTCGGACTCGCGCGATTCGGCCGGGGGTTCGAGACGTTTATGCCGCTCCCGAGGTGCACACACACACTGCGCGGCACCGATTAGGGTGGTGGTTTGCGCGCCGTCGTGACGGCGGAGGGTGAGAAATAGAGCACGGCACAGTTGCGTGTGTCTTAACCCGGAGAGAGATCCCCGTGACACGAAGAGAGAGAGAAGAGAGACGAAGACAGACAGTGCGCGTAAGTGCGTAAGTGCAGCGTTTCGTGCGGGAAATCGTCCGAGAAGATCCGAGTCTGTGAGATCCGAATCGCAGACCTCTCGGATTCGGAGAAGCCGAGATTACTCTCGACACTGGGGGATCTCCTTGATCCTTGGGCGAGAGAAGGAGCAGGGCGCGAGAGTGCGTGCGGACAGTCGAGAAGAGACTCGGGTTATCGGAACGGGGAGCGAGGAGGGCCGAGAGTCGTCGTTACGCGAACACGTCGGTGGCCGCGGTGATGTCGAACGCGAGATCCCGCGAGATCCTCGCGCGAGCCCGTTGCACCAGGTGATTCGATCCTCGCCTTCGTGCGTCGCCGCGCTACGTGGAGCGACACGAGGGACGTACTGTCGCTCCCGCGGGCGTCATTTAAGCGTGAATTAAGCGTCCCATCGGGAGAATTATATACGCGCCGGGGGAACCGTGAGAATAGACCAGTCGAGATTTTACGATCGCGGATCGATCTGATTCAAGCGAACGCGCGCATCAGCAAGCGCGTATCGATAAGCCGTGAGAGGGAGAGAGAGAAAGAAAGAGAGAGAGAAAGTGGCAGTTGCGTAAGGGAGTGAGAATTGCGCGCGATGATCTCGATCGTCGCCAGGGAATCCCGCGGGAAGTCCGGGACGTCGTGCGTAATCCCCGCGCTACGGGCCAGATGCCCCGTAACGATCGACATGCGACCGCACGAAGGGTGGTAGCGTGCACAGTAAGATCGGAGCAGCAGCAACAGCAGCAGCAACAGCAGCAGCAACAGCAGCAACGGCGGCAGCAGTAGCGGCAGCAGCTGGTCAGAGCTAATACGCGCTTCCGGCACCGTGCACCGCCGCGCGGGGCTGATGCGGTGGATGCGAAACGTAACAACGACGGAACGATGGCCGGTGGTGCGTGCACGGAAACGGCACACGAAACGTTAGTCGAAGCGGTGATCAATAATAAGACGCTCCGGCTCGCCGAAGGATTGTGAACCGGCGATCGCTCATTCCTCACGCCGTGGCTCGCGAGGCACGTCGCCGTAAGGATGTAGGGGGGCCCGCGATAACGGGCCCCGTGGAGGCGCCGCTTCGTTCCCTCTCGCTCCCCTCGCGACGACCGCGACGTACCGCGCGAGGACGATCTGACGACGGGAAAGCCAAGGCGCGCGATTTATAAAAAAAAAGAATAAAAGAGAAAGAGAGAGAAAGAGAGAGAGAGAGAGAGAGACGAAAGAAGAACATAATACGTAATAATAAAATCGCGACACACCGGCGCAGTGCCGAACGTAAAGATAATTATGTGTTCCTTAGTCCATCTCTTAGGTGGCTCCGAGTTATTGAACGTGTATCGTAGTTCTCGTCGTAGTAGCAATTTTCTTATACCACCCTCGTGTGGAGCATAGATGCCTTAGTGTGCGTTTAGCGGAGAGAAAGAAAGAAAAGAGAAGTAAAGAGAGAGAGAGAGAGAAAGAAAGAGGGAAGTCTTGGATTCCTTGGATAAACAATCGATCGACGATCTTGCGATACGATCGTAAATGCGGCGAGCACGTCGGAAGGCGCGGTTAAATGCACGTAACGGTGCACGATAAAGGAAAGCCACTCGGAAACGGAAAAAATAGAGGAAGAACGAAACCGGGGAAAGCCGTGAGAGAGAGAGAGAGAGAGAGGAAGAGGGGGAAGTAAGAGTGCGTTCTCCGTGTCGTACGAAAAATATAATCGTTGTTATAGCCGGCCGCGAAGTAGGTCACGAGGTCGATACTAAAATGAAGTGAAGATGCAAGAGGAAACCGGGAAAATGGCATGTGCTAACGACGTTAATAACGGTGGACCGATTTTTCGGGGCGGACCCGGCGTTAGTGCGAAGTAATTAGTGATTTACCGTGCACGTTGAGCGCGCGCGCGCGCGCGCGCGCCATTCGCGCGGAGTGTCGCGCGAGGTAATCTAATAGCGGACTACCCCTACGTACGGCGGATAATTACTAGCGAAAATGGTCGATCTAGGAGGATACATTATTATACTGACGAACGACGACGGGAAGATCAAGCTGTACGGTACGTTTATAAAGCGCGCGGTTATACGTTACGTTATAGCAACAAAACGTACGACGCGTGTTATTGCATCCCGTCAGACGCATACATTCGACGGACGCCAAATATTTCGCGAAACACATTTCGCGCGACGATAAAACACCATTAACGCTCCCAAGTTATCGGAGCACTTGGAGTGTAAACAAAAGCGCGATCTGACTATATAGAATGCATATGCTGTGTTTTAAATTTTCGAAAACTCACGTGCTTTCGCTTTGTAAGCCACGCCTAACGTTATCTTTATTTTCACAGAATTTCTGCGATTTCACGTTTCAATTTACAAATTTTCCCGATTAATAGATTAATTTATCCTTATCTGTATTGGCATTCACATCAGTTTGTCGAATGTGTGTCAAACGAATCGCGATCGTCTCTTCAGATTACATGTATCGTCCCCTTGATGGTAAAGTGACACAAGTATTAACATTTTTTTTTTTTATGAGAGGGACTCGATTCACTCGATCCGAAAGACTTTAGGATCGATTTTCTGCGGTTGTCCCTCAGAAATGCTTAATTTTCGACTTGTGCAGCCACTTTTCTATCGACGCGGCGATTATATCCTCGATCGTTCGCGAGGGATATGCGACAGCGCGTAGGAATCTAAATGAGAAGTGATAATTTTCTCGTTAGCGATCATCACATATGCGCGCAGCTTACACGTCATGCACACGTCGCACGCTTTCGGAAGCGGGAAATGTGCGACGGACGGATTTCCGATTTACGCGACGTGTTACAGTAATGCGCGACGATTTACATAGAGGACGTGTTTCGCGACGTGTTTATTTATAGGCTGACCTTTATGTTTACTTATCGTAACGCGCGCTTTATCGCCCTGGAGGAGGCATTCATTTTATGTTTCACTCTTTCCTGCCTCGATTCCTGTTGCATATCTTTCTTAGAAGTTTAAATCTAATTTTTTGTTTTTCAGAAGATAGACCTTTTTTATACAAAAAGATATGTGTAACATCGGCGATTCAATGCAATTTGCACGAGCGCTCCATTAATTTTTACGTATTTCGCGAATTTGAAACACGGTGTGTTAATTATTCCGCTATCGACGTTCGAATTACAAGGCGCATTGATAAATCGATTATATTACTACGCTTGTTTTTTTATTCGTTTATCAAGAAGAAGGTTTTTCGCACCATTTTATATTCCGTATGGAATGCACCAGTCGGTTGCTTTTACGATTCGTTTGCGCGCAATGTCCTTTAAATGGTCGAGCTCATTAGCAGATATACGTTCCCGCTTACGAAGCCAGATTATGTGTTACAGCCATGGGCATTTAAACACGGGATTTTTGCAAGCTTCGACGTCTGGTTTCAATAGGGATTATTGAATGCGATGTCGCGTTCGAAGGCGCGCCGTAGTGTCCATTTAACACGAAATCTGATCAACATTAACAATGCATATCAGAATTTTTTATTAAAATTTATTAAACAATTTTTTGTTGCTTTTAACGCTAAGTATTATAACAGTTTAAATTTCACAAAATTATAATGAGATTATATTCGTTTATGCAGGCTCGCCGGCGGACAATGTGGACACTCTGGAAGTAAGCGATGAAATTTTAGAAGTGAACGGTCGCACCTTGGAAAATGCAACTCATAACGAAGTCATTCAATATATACATCAGGTAATTATATTAGTATATTTTTGGTTATATTATTTGTATGTTTTTAGAATCGCGCTTTATATTTCACGATTTTATTACATATTCATTATATTATCATTTCGTATGTTTCTTAATGAATTATTATCATCATTCTTTTAGAAATGAGACAAAATAATTAATAAAAAGATATTTTTATATAAAAGAAAGAGAAAATATATAATATATCGCGTACATTTTAAATTCTTTTTATTTTTATATTTTCTTAATTATATATATATATAATACAGCTAATTGTGTTTCTTTTGATTTAAGTGCATCAAATCTCGAACAATATGTCTGCGTCTCCGGAGAAGCGGAAACAAGATGGGTAAGTCGATTCTCGCTCTTTTACATTTTTTATATTTACGTTTTTAAACGTAATGGTATTATATATTACTATTATATTTTGGGCCATTTAAAGTTGAAAAGGAGACAGAAATAAGTGAAGCGTAAAAAAATGATAATGACGTAAGACAATTAAATTATTATAAATCTTGAATTACAAACAAACAACCGAGCGTAATAATGTGAAAGTTTAGACGAAAGAAAATAGAAGAAGTAAGAAACGGACCGAAAAACGGGCGCAGTTATACTTTTCACGTGAAAAGTCCTCGTTACTTGAAACGCCGCGTGGTGACGTGTTATTCTTTGAACAGATGTTTCTAAAGCAAATGAGAGACATTTCATCGTCAACCGGATGATATTGTGGTTTTATCGCAACCGTGCCGGGGCAAGCGCTCGGTACGAATTTGAATACAGTTCAAATAACATGGGCCACAGTCGATTTCGGGTTGTCCCGTACCGTGTTCTCGTCCTCCCTCGTCGAATAAAACGTGCGGCGTTTTCGACACGTCACGCGCGCACGGTGACGACAGCTTTTGACGGCGGGGGCCGCGACGAAAATAAGAATTCGGTCACACAAGGCCTGGCTGGGACGAAGTCGCCAATTGATATTGACGCGTTCCTGCCGGACACAATTTTCCGACCGAGCGACGACGGTGCGCGAAACGACAGTCGTTCGGAGGATATTCAAAAAATTCCGGTAAGGTCTTTTCGAGCGTGAATGCCGCATTCCTTTCTGGCAAAAGTAGCGGATTCGCGTGTCGGGAACGGTGGGAGGGGGGTAAGTTCCGCACGAGAGAATTATGAATACGCGAAATTTGCAGCACACTAAGTGCGCTTCGAAACAATTATAATTATTTCGTCTTTTCTTCTTTTTTTTTTATTTTTTTTTCCGTTGTCGATCGGTGTGCTGCGGTAGACACGATAACGTGTCAGTGTCGGTGCGGACACTGATAATACAGTGATTCATTCGTATGAATAGCGCCGCTGTATTGCACGCGCTGATAACAGGTTTATTGCAATCGATTTCAATATTGCATCCGTGAAGTGGACGTGAATTACAAGCCCTTTAATTCGTTTAATCACTTGAATCGTGCCTCTGTATCATTATTTTTGCCCAGTATTTATCGGAACCCGTAATATATTCCTGATTATTCCAATAATCGCCCCCATTAAGCTGTTTCATTCTATTCTGCGAGCAGCATTATACGTTCGCTCAAATTCGCAACGTGGCGCGTAGCGTACGTGGCCGTTTGATTCTCAAGTATGTGTTTGCGACTTTATCAGGCCGTATTCAGAACGTAGTTCTTCGGCAATTAGGAATTTTTTATTCAGGAATATTTAACATCGCGTTCGTTTCTATCAATGTAGAGTAATTTTAATCCCAGCTTAACTTACTTTTCCTTTCTTTTTTTTTTATTTTAAGAATTAATTTGAAAATTTTAGAAAACTAACTTTAAAGAAAAGATAAAGAGTAAATTAAACCGAAATTAAAGTTAATCTACACTGAAATTAATCCACATTGAAATAAATCTACGCAGAAATAGGAAATAAGAATAATAGAAGGACGCGGTCTCGAGGAGCGGTCAGCTTGGGCAACTTACGTTTCGCGGCGCGGCAAAATTCGAACGGCGTTTCAGGGGGGATCGTCGGCCGATTCCGGGCAGGCTCGTGCGAGTCCGGCGTTCGCCAGGTAAACGCTCCAGGTGGCCGCGTATACGGTATCGCGCGGTGAAGGTGATGAAGAGGGTACGGGAGGGGAGGGCAGACAGGAGTGGAGAACTCTCCGGAGGTAGGCAGGTAGGCAGGCGGACAGGCCAGGCGGCTGCACATGGCGGACCAGGAGGTATAACCTTCGAATGGTATCCGCTGTCACGCTCCGCGCCGCGCGGCAGTACGGAGGAGCCGTTCGTACGCGCGCCAAGCGGTTCCGCGCGCTCCGTTCCGTATTGGTACCGCGATCGCAGGTCCTTACCGTCGGCGAGCGCGACGACAACGACAACGACGACGGGAACGCGATTGTCGACGCGTACGTAAGGCTTCTTCTTGGAGAACGCGCGATTTCTCGTTTCTCGTCGACTGTGAGTGTGCGTGTATGTGTGCGTGTGTGTGTGCGCGCGCCTAGGTGAATCGCGATCGCGCCGCGGATCGCACACGAGTCGCGCGAGTGCCATATCGGCGCGGCGGCGGTGCGGAGCACCGCGGGAACGCAAAACTTGTAGCGTCGTTGATTTTCGCTCCTCTCCTTGGCGTTTCCGCGCTCGCCAGGTCGTCGCCGTGCCGGAGCGGTCGGACGAGACGAGCCGCGGTTCCGCGATCGATCGCGCGGATCACGAGCGAATCCGGCTTCGAATCGAGACACGCGGGTCGAAGGTGAACGGTCCCGCGATCGTTGCGCGCGTGACGGAGCAGTGAATTCGTGATAGATTGTGGGTGCTCCGGTGGTGATCCCGTCCGATAGGGTGGTGTTGTACGAGCGACTTCAACGCGTCTTCCCGCTTCCAGCTTCCAGGCCTGCAGGGCGCGAGGAGATCCGTCTTGCTATCTATCTCGCTCCTTATCTATCCTTCTCCTTCTCTCACTCTCTCTCTCTCGTCATCGTCATCATCCCGGCGACTCGCTGATCTGCCAAAGGTAACTCGCTCCTCTTTTCTCTTTATCGCGCGCTCTTACCGCTCCTCTCTCGGAGCTCCTTATTTAAACGGCGATCCCCGCGCGTCAATCTCTTACGGTGTAAACCGCCGCCAGCAGTTTCGGGGCAGCCGTTACGTTTTCTGGTAGCAGAACGATCGCGGTACCAGAACGTGCCAACGCTTCTCTCACACCGTGTCCGCCGCTGTCCTCCTTCCTTTCTCCCTTCCTCGCTTTCCGCCGTTCGTCTCTCTTTCACCGTCTCTTGTGACATGTCGACTTCGCAATATCACGCGCGCCACTTATTCCCGATACACACCTCGTCGCGCCGCGGTTTTCAGCTCGCGTCCGCAACTGTTTACGACCTGGTATCGCGGGCTCGTATAGCCTGACTTTTATTAAGTCTCTTTTACCGTCTCCCCTGTCACGCCGGTCGGCGATAATTCTTAGCGGGCGTTCGCGTTCGATCAATCGCGCGCGTAAATCTTTCCTCTTCCATCCGTTCGATTAACTTTCCATGGCTGTGCGCCGCGTGTCATCTCGCGCTACATTAACGAATTTTCAATTTGTACCGTGGAAGCATCTTGATCTGTGTGTTAAAAAAAATCTTATTTCTTTCATTTGTTCCGATTATCCAATAATCGTTTTTCACGCACTATCGTCGTCGTCGATCTCTCGCGCGCGGGATCTCTCGCGAGAGCTCGCGATAATTATTTAACTTCGTCACATCGCTCGTTCGTTTGTCCTTCTTTTTTTCTCCCCTGTCACAATGAAAAAGTCTGCGTTAATACATTCCGCATGAGTGTTTTAATCCTATATAAATTTGCATACAACGTCCATAAGTTCCGTTAATATCCTCTCACTCGCGTGTATCGCGTTTTAACGTTTCTATTTCTACTCGTCGCTCTCTATTCGCGCTTCACGAAATAGATTGTCTCTTATTGAGTTTTACGAAACGTTAGGAATATTCATTAGATTATCGGGTATACATATAATAGATTCCCCAGGATAATAGGCTATTGCGTTTTATGCACGCTTTTATATTACGTCCTCAATCGCATTCCTTGCATTGAGATATGATTATTTAGCCTCGTTGGAGATTCTTTATATGAATATCGCATTAGAAAAGCATCTTGCGAAATTATTTCCTAAGTTTCATAAGAATCTCTCTCTCTCTCTCTCTTTATCTCTAATCATATAACATATAATTTATCAATTAAATAAATCACATTCACAAACTGTAAATGTTAGATGATTGAACGGATGCTTCTGCTCGAAAATATAAACTAAAAAGTGATAAAATGTGTCGATTATAATGTCATCTATGTGTCGCGGAATAAATATTGTATATAAATTTTTCTTAGAATTGATTTTTTGACACATTCATAGAGAAAAAATTCAGATTAAGGAAGAAAAAAGGGATTTTCCATTAGAAAAGTTGTATCTATTCAATATCAATGTCATTACTAAACCCAAAAATATTCTATCCTTTAGCGGTACCCTCTCGATGCTAAAAGATTTTCCTCTTATATACGGCTCAAAAAGATATTCTAAAATGTAGAGGGATATTGAATTACTATGAGAATTTATTCTTGATTATAGCGCATGTGCTACTTCTTTATAGATAATATTCTTGATTACAGTGCATGTGCCACTTCTTTATAGATAAATACGCGTTATAGTTGAGGAATATGCTTTATGGAAAATTTTTTTGCTTAGAGGAAATGCTTAAAGGAATTTCCCGCTTATATAAGTAGAACATTTTTTTTTATGTATGTTCATGTTATGTTCATATTTATTATTACGCATAATAATTATTATAAATAATATGTGACAACCTGTACATTATATTTAATCTTAGTTTGTTCAAAAAATGTCAGAAGAGTGACCGACGTATGTCTATAATAATTCATTGTTAGAGGCGCGAAGTTTACTTCTTGCATCATCGGTCAACGTCACGTTGTTCCACCGCCTCTTGAATTTTGTTCAGCTCTTCTCGAATCTGCCGTCCGTTTCGTCACGTATATACGTATCTCTTGTTTTTTTTTATTTACCACTCGCGAAACTTATTCGTTAAAACTGATCCACGAGAAATATCTTTCGAACCGTTCCGACCTATTTATGCGCAAGAGCGCATTACAAAACATTCCGATCTCTTCTCTTTTCCTGCTCTCTTTTCCTGCAAGTACATTTACACGTTACATTTAGACCCGTATTTATTCCCCGTATTTATCAATAAATGCACTCTCATACATTTCTGAGATTCTAACAGTACAGGTAACGTAAATTATATGCTAAATGCGCGCGTTTACCGATATAAAAATGAGTTTACGAATTACCTTAGATTCGGGTGGG